GCAGATCCCCTCTGAGGGTTCTCCAGGCCAACCAACCCCAGGGCTCTCAGCCTTTCCTGGGCACAGAGATGTTCCAGTCCCCCCAGTACCTTTGTCGCCTCCGCTGGACTCTCTCCAGCAGTTCCTTGTCTCTCTGGAACGGGGAGCCCAGCACTGGACCCAGTACTCCAGAGGTGGCCTCACTAGGGCAGAGTAGTACATTCTGCAGCACTGGTCAGGTCACAGGAGCTAACCCACTAGCAGCTGGTGGAGATTGTTCCAGAGAGCTGGGCTCCACTAAAGCTGGGTGGCATTTGGGTAAGTCCTGGCCCAGGGCTGGGGCAGAGGCTGGGACCTGATTGCCTCTCTTTCAGGAGAGCGTGCGGGCGCCTTCACGGTGATCTGCAGCGACGCAGAGGAAGCCAAGAGGGTGGAGTCACAGCTGAAGATCCTCATCCGCCCCATGTACTCCAACCCGCCCATGAACGGAGCCCGCATCGCCTCCATGGTCCTCAACACCCCTGACCTCCGCAAGGAGTGGTAAGAAGGAAGCTCTCAGGCTCCCAACGGCAAGGTGTCAGGTCTCCCTGTGGCAGCCCTTGCCTTCAGGGGTACAGTCACAACCATGCTTCACCCCTGTCCTCTGGAGAAGTCCCTGCTCCTCTCCTAGCACCAGCTGGTAGGACACAAAGAGGTTCCCCTTGTGTTACCAAGGCAGAAAATGCTGAGCAAGGGGAGAAAGCTCCCCTGGGGTTGAGGGCTACTGGAGCAGCCTATCCAGGGTGTGGAGTCACAGAATCATAGAATCACTAAGGTTGAAAATAACCTCCCAAGATCATCAAGTCCAGCTGTCAACCCAACACTACCATGTCCTGAAGTACCATGTCCACATGTGTTTAGAACCCCTCCAGGGATGGTGACTCCAGCATCTCCCTGGGCAGCCTGGGCCAAGGCCTCACCACTCTGGCAGGAAAGAAATTCTTCCTAATACCAAATCAAAACCTCCGCTGGTGCAGCCTAAGCCCATTTCCTCTCATCCTAGCTCTGATTACATGGGAGAAGAGACCAGCCCCCACCTCACTCCAACCACCTTTCAGGGAGTTGTCAAGAGCAATAAGGTCTCCCCTCAGCCTCCTCTTCTCCAGACTAAACACCCTGAGATCACTCAGCCACTTCTCACAAGCCATGTTCCCCAGAGCCCTCACCAGCTTCGTTGCCCTTCTCTGGACCCGCTCCAGCCCCTCAAGGTCTTTCTGATCCTGTGGTGCCCAAACCTGACCCCAGCACTCAAGCTGTGGCCTCCCCAGTGCTGAGTCCAGGGGCACAATCACTCCCATACTGCTGCTGGACACGTTTTTTGATCCAGGCCAGGATGCTGGTGGCCTTCTTGGCCACCTGGGCACACGCTGGCTCATGTTCAGCCAGCTGTCCACCAGCTTCCCCAGGTCCTTTTCTGCCAGGCAGTTTCCAGCCACCCAGCCTGGAGTGTTGCAGGGGCTTGTTGGGATCCAAGTGCAAGACCCAGCCCTTGGCCTTGTTAAACCTCATACAACTGACCTGGGTCCATCGATCCAACCTGGCCAGGTCCCTCTGTAGAGCCTACTGACCCTTGAGCAGATCAACACTCCCACCCAACTTGGTGTCATCTGCAAACTTACTGAGGGTGCCTCGATCCCCTCATCCAGATGATTGATAAGATGATAAGAGACTGGCTGAGGCATTGTAGCCACACAGCAGGTGTTGCATAGGGCAAGCGGAACCCCTGGGCTGCTTGCCCTGCCCCTCAGGGTGGAGTCCCTGCCCGCGGCTGGCCTGGCAGAACAAAGGCTGGCTGTGTGTTGTGGTGGCTTTGCCAAGAGCTGTGTTCCTTCGGCACGCCGCCACTTGTCCCTGAGCCAGGACCTAGTGGAGATGTCCCCTGCTCCAAGGCACCACAGCCAGGAGATGTTATCCCCGTGCTCTCCAGCTATCTGCAGATAGTATTTGCTCTGCCTTGGGGCAGTGCTGCCATGAGGCCTCCTACTCGCCCGTGGCTTTCAGAATCAAGGGCCTCCTGTGCTCTGGTAGTAGTGCCCAACAGCTATGGAGTAAATAAGTAGCAGACACCTTCAGGTATCAGGAGGTAGAAGCAGATGGAGCTACAAGCTCACATTCCCTGCTCTTTGCTCTGCATCTCCAATGTTTTTGAGGTTTGAGGCCCTTCCAAGTAGTATTCCTGGTAGTGTTTGTTGAGGAGCAGCTCTGGTGCATCCCAGCCCTGCTCTGAGCAGTTTGTGGGTTGGCCTCTCAGGCTCGTGGAGGTGAAGAGCATGGCCGACCGGATCATCAGCATGCGGACCCAGCTGGTGTCCAACCTCAAGAAAGAGGGATCCTCCCACAACTGGCAGCACATCACCGACCAGATCGGCATGTTCTGCTTCACTGGGCTGAAGCCTGAGCAGGTAAAAGCAGTTCCTGTGGTGTCAAGGTGTTGTTTGTGGTCCGTGCCAGTAAGAGCTTGACTGCAAGTGCCAATATGAGCCCTCGTAAGCAGTTCTTCCAGGAGGAACATCCTCCAAGCCCTCAGCACTGGAACATCATGGAGACCCATGTCTTGCTCTGCTCCATGCTGTGCTTGTAGAGGTTGAAAGTAGATGTAACCTGCTTATGGCTGAGGAAACAATCACTTGGTGCTGCTCTGAGTTGATCTTAAAGGCCAGCACAAGTGAGGTGACTCCTGGCTGAACATCTGCATCTGAGAACCGAGCAGCATCTCTGCTGGCTTTGCAGGGTGCTCCACTGGCTCTGTGAGGAGTGGGTCTACTGGCTCCCAGTTCACATTGGGTTCTGGCCAGCTGGGTAATTGCCACTCTGCTAAGAGAGTCAAGGTTGGCCAGCGGTTTGACCTCTGCTCTTTCACCCCAGGTGGAGCGGCTGACCAAGGAGTTCTCCATCTATATGACAAAGGATGGACGAATCTCTGTGGCTGGAGTGACGTCGGGCAATGTAGGTTACCTGGCTCATGCCATCCATCAAGTTACAAAGTAAAGACAGAGGTGTGCCCTGGAGCTGGTGGCTTTCCCCTCCCCACCGGGTCAAAGCTGGGAAGGGAAAGGAAACAAGCACAGAACACTTCCAGCCATGGCACTCAACACTGCTGCTGAATGTATCTCGTAGATGATTGTTGTAGAAGCCTTGTCCAAACCGCCCTGCCTTGGGGAGCGGGGCCATCGTTGCTGGCTCCCACTCCTTGCAGCCCTTCTCCCCTGCTCTCCGTGCTCTGTCCCTCAGCCCCAGCACCCAGCTGTGCTGGAGGGAGCCAAACCGACCCACCAGCACGGGCACCAAAGGCTTCCCCACCCTCGTTCCTCCATAAGAAGGCTTTGTAAGGCTGTTGGCCACTGGCCCAATGGGGGTGGGCCAGGACCTGGGTGGGAGAGCTGCTCGGGTGCCACTGCCACCTCGGCTCATCCCAGCAGGCTCCATCCTCCTGGGCCCGGCACTGGGCAGTGCCAAAGCTGCCCTCCAACAACTGGCTCAGAGGTCTTGTCACTACTAAAGTCTGTTCCATCGTTGGCTTCACTCGTTCCATGTGGGAATCTCCTTTCCGGTGTCATTCACAGTGGCATTACTGCGTGGGGTGGACCCGTGTCCCTCTAAACTTGCCTGGGTGTCCTGACTTCACACCCATACCCTGAGGTGAAACAATTTCTTGTCCCTCCCAATAAGAACGTCCTTTGAAAGCTGCTCTCCCTTGGTCTCTGCTTCTCTGTGGTCCTGGACCAACCCCACCAGCCCTTCCTGCACAGCAAAGTCTTTGTGCGTGTCCCCCCCAAAGCCACCAGCCACAATGGGTCCCTCCATGTCCACCCTCATGTGGGGTGCAGGGTGTCCCTCATTTCTGTTCAGCCGTATTTCTGGTGACGCCAGAAAGCAAGAAGGAAAGATCCGAAGGGAAGGATGAGAGCTACCAACTCAAACACACATTCTGTCCTGAGCTGGGTGTCCCTGAATCACGGGACTCTGGGTTTTAATGCAAATAAACCAGTGCATGGCTGTGTTGAACTGGGGCCTTTGTCCTGTCATCGCCCAGCTGGATCCTGTCCCTTCCATGCACCAAACGAGGGACGTGCCAGCAGATAGGATGTGGTACAGCCCATGCAATGCTCCTCTCCAGAGAATCCCACCAGAGAAAGGACAGTTCCCACCCGTGTGCCCCAAGAGCATTGGGTTCTGTGGGCTGAGGCTGCCCCAGATGGGATCTGGCCTCACGGAGCCAGATTTAAAGCCAGTGGGGTTGAACACGGGGAGAGCGTCGAGTCCCCAGAGCCCACCTACACCCACCAGAGTACGACGGAGCTCCAAGGGAGGGGGCTGGAGAGGCTACCTCAGCCTGGCGTCCTTCCTTCATCCGCCGGCGCCTCTTCCCCCGGGCAGCCCTTCCCTCTCAGCC